AAAAAAAAAGGGGGGCTGTGGATGTGGCTCACTAGTTAAGTACCACTGGGTTCATTCCCTGGTATGCCCCACACCTCCCCCAAAAACCCTATTCATAGAAGGTGCGGTGGCACACACCTGTAATCCAAGCAACTTGGAAGACTGAAGCAGTTTGAGGCTAGCCTGCAGCAACTTAGGGATACCCTTTCTCAAAATAAAAAATAACAAGGGCTGGGGATCTTCCAAAACAAAACAATACTTATTCATAAACAACCATAAATCTTTTATAACTGTAAATGTCCACTGTTGAAAGATGACCTTCCTAGTTAGTATTTACCTATGGATTTAGATATCAAATATATATCTACGTATATATTTGCATGTTATATATTTGTATATTCATTTAATAAAAATGAGATTCCTGACTTGCTTTAAAATTTTTAATATATTATGAACATTTTCTTTGTTATAAAACTATTACATCACTGGATTTTTCCAGTACTGCTATTGTAAGTAATAGTATGATGAACTTTGTGTGTGTCATTTTCACTTTCTAAGTATTACCTTGGATCAGAAAGGAAAAACTAGTTTAGTGTTTGTCTTCCTAGTAGCAAGACAGAGGTCACCCACTGCCACCACATTCCAGCCAATGTTAGTAGCTTGCTTTTGGTCATACTTTTATGTGGAAGATTTTAGGAGATATTGACAAATTTTCAGTGGACAAATCACACAACCAGATTTGCTTTTTCAATTTCAGCTTCAGGGCCTAATAGTTCTGTCAGTCTCATGTGGTCTTAGGAGGCATATAAAATAATGGTGACATTGAGTAAAGTGGTACAAGTTGGGTGGAGAGTCTAAACAAGCAGATCTCCAACCTGTTGTTATGAAGGAAGCAATTCCCCGGTTTTATGTTGCAGGTAGGGGATACTCACTGGGCAGGCAAAGCACACCAGGATCTTTTGTCTCAGGACTTTTATGTATGTTAGTCCTTATGCTTAATGCCTACTTGATTATTTCTCAGAAAAACAACAGCAGCTAATCTTTCCTGGCACTGAGAGCTAGATTCTTTGTTATGTAACCTAAGACATCCTTTTGTTTTCATTCTCTGAAGTTAAACCCATTATTCTTCCCCATTTTGCAGATGAGAGAATTGAGATAGAGAATCTCCTGTCTTGTCATAGGTATGTTGCTTGTCTTCTGGCTTCAAACCTAGAGTCACTTGTCTCTCTCTTCACAACTAAGCTTCCCTGTCTCAAGCCACTTTTCTGGACCATGAGTTGGGACTTTGCCTGTAGCTTACAAGCCAATCCTCTCAGAAAGTTTTATTTGTTGAACCATTTAAAGACATCAGGTTCTTAAGTGTTTTTTTTTAAAGTTCCAGATTTATCTTCCTATTTCCTACTTCTCCCAAGACTAAGCTGAGATATTCAATTATAAGCTGTTTGAGAGTCAGGCTCAGGCAGTCTGTTCTGCATACAACAGAGCCCATCACTGTGAAGGACACTTGGGTGCATCAATCCATGATTGTCACGTTAAATAGAGGATGATTTCTCCAGCTCTGATAAAAAGGTAAACCAGCCAGAAAAAAATTTAGGGAATTATGGTTGAACTAATTCAACAGATTGTAATATTTGTGTGTGTGTGTGTGCATTTTTTTTTTTTTTGGTACTGGGAATTGAACCCAGGGGTACTTTACTACTGAGCTACATCCTCAGTTCTTTTTTATTTTATATTTTTGAGATAGAGTCTTGTTAAGTTGCTGAGGCTGACCTTGAACTTGGGATCCTCCTGCCTCAGCCTCCCAAATTGCTGGGATTATAGGTGTGCATTACTGCACCTGGCTCATGTATTTTCAGTAAATCTATGATTTGGACATGTCTCCTGGCATCCATGTGTTGGACATATGGTCCCCAATGCATCAGTGTTAAGAGGTAGGATCTTTGGGAGAGGACTGGGTCACTTACAGATTAATGAATTATCATGGGAGTAGCTTTGTTATAGAAATAAGCACTTTGGCTCACTTGCTCTATCTTGCCATGTGATGCCCGCTGCCTTATTATGATGCAGGAAGCTCTTCATTAAATGTCAAACAGAAGCCTATGTCTTGCTCCCAGCTTCCAGAATCAAGAGTTAAATAAACCTCAGTTCTTTATAAATTACTCAATCTGTGGTATTCAGTTATACCAACCCAAAACTAAGACAGCCTACTTCAGAAGCAATTAAAGATCCTATCTGTGTTTTTAGTACATTCTGTATTCATTTGTGATAACAGCAATTTGTCTGGGCTCTGTGCTAGGTGTTTGACATACGCTTTGTTATTATGCAAATTATTTTTCACAAGAATTTGAATTATCCTTGGGTTGGTTTGTTTTCAGTTCTTCATTCCACCCTGCCCCCCTCACCAGAGGAAGAAGCGAGTTTGGGTAGCCCATTGGCCAACAGAGTCTCCCTTTGCAGAGGCACTTAGCTGGGAACTCCTTTGACTCAGGAAAGATAAGCCATCTCCAGGCAGGCCCCTTGTCTTCCTGGTCTACTTCTCTCCTTTGTTCCTTAGATCTGAAAACTCTTCAAAGCCTCAGAGGAAGTGCAGTGAGTTGATTCTCATGTACCTGGAGAAGAGAATATAGAGGCGGCGGAACCAGAGGAGTTGGCTTCTATGGCAGTACATGGCTCTCTAGAAGAATCAAAGGGGACCAGTTAGGTACATTTGATCTAGAGCTATTTCTATTACTTTCAGAGTTGTTTCCTCATCTGAAATCCCTCCTCCCACTAATATACTTTGTGCTATAGCATTATTTGGTTTCGTTCTATAGCCCATGAACCTCTCTGGATTGACCTTCCCTTCTCATCTCCTACTTACTTCATTGTGATTAAAGCAGATGATGCTAAGGGTAGCTAAAGCATTTACTATTGGCACAACAGTCTACAATCATCATCTCAATGTGAATAACCGTGTTATTCTAATAATAGTATGTACTATTATTATTGCTTTCTTTCCCCCCAGTAAGTAGATGAGGACACTCATTAATCACAAATAGCTAGTAGGTAGCAGAGCTGAGATTCAAACCCAGAGCCATCTGATGGACTCTAGAGCCTCATTTTGCTCTGCTGCCTTTACCTATACAACACAAACAAAGGTGTCCGAGGGGAAGCAGGCTAGAATGCTATGCCCAGACTTCTTTGAATTAGGTAAACTGGAAGACATAATCACTATTGGGAAAAAAAAAAAAGGAAGGTACACAGGTATGGGTTAGTCTTCCCACCTAACAGAGGAAATGTATATTTTCTTGTTATTTGGACCTAGTACAGTTCCATTTTTAAACAGATCATGGTAACTGGTTTAACTATGTAGGACATATATATAAAAAATTGCTGTTGTTCTCTAAGTACCATAACTTAACTAAGTTAATATTATTGCAAACCTTTATGTAATCCTTAATGTAAATGTAAATATTTATTGTCAGAATATATGTGGTTTTAGAGCTGTAAACATACTTGTGATAATCGTGATTTGGATGGTAAAGGGAATCGGAATAGAACTATCTCACTATACAATCTAGGCAAAATGTTACATAATATTTTTTCCACAGCAAACACAATGAAAATTATAAGTGAAATTTACTATCAGAAAACAAAAAGGAGGGGCTGGGGATGTGGCTCAAGCGGTAGCGCGCTCGCCTAGCATGCGTGCGGCCCGGGTTCGAT